CCTTTGCAGATTGTAACAGATCCATCAAACAGCTGAACATTCTCATTCAAGTTCCATTCTGTCTGTTTACATTAGGTTAGATGATGCCCATGGGATAAAAAAAAAAACCATGACTCAGCTTTTATATCCAGTCAATTCAAGAGTTATAAAGTTTTATATACACAGGAAAACTGGGAGCAGTCTGGATGGTAACACCTGTCTGTTATTTGCTGCCGTCTACCCGACTACTCGCCTGATTTGTTGAGTGAAAAATGACTTCTAACCCCAGCGCTGACAGATTGTAGACAACGAGAATACATAAAATAGCAGGTGATATTCTGCCCAACAGCCCGTCCTTAGAGATAACCAGACTGCATTTTACTGTCAGGTGTAAATTCTCTGCATATCACCCGCATAGAAGCTTCTCATGAACAAAAGAAGCCACACAAAAATTCGTTTTTAGGGCCCGACCGATATGGGGCCGATACCGATACTGATATTGGGAGAAAAAAAAGCTGATATCGATATATTGGCCGTTATTCAATCTGTAGAGAGAGATAAATATAGGTTTACACATGTATTGCGAATCAAACACTTGTGAAAAAGATATTTAATTAAGACAGGATGGACGCTCAACTTGGAAGTAAACGCGCATGTACGTGCATCAACGCTTGACACTGAAGAGAGATAATGCTTGTTGTAATCCACATAGCACACTGGTGACAGCAAGAAAGAGAACTGCTAGTGTAATACAATGATGCTCAAATAAAATACAATTTGATTGGTGAATAAATCTAGTTATATCGACGTATATCCCCCTCATACTGATAGTCACTTGATAAGCTAATATCGGCAGATATTATCGACTGGCTGATTAATCGGTCAGGCTCTAATCTTTTTATTTTCCTTATCCTGAAGTACTTACTTACTCTAGCTCTACCTCGAAGTTGTTTTAAGGGGTTGTTGAGTCCTTGTGTTAGCAGTCAAGCCAACAGCCCATGACATCAATACGTAGCTCACTATGTTGCCCTCACAATCACCAGTAAAGCTGATTGCATCAAGAGTGATAACAACCTGCTGTGAGCAGAGGAGCAATAAACGGACTACTCTGCTGATCGACGGAGCTGCTGAGAGAATAATAGTGTGAGGAGCTCAGGATCCAGTGTCATTTTTTTTGGTCTATTAAACAAGTGTTTTCTTTTGCACCAAAATGAGGCAGTGACTTCTGACACTGAGCCCTGTGTGACTAAGTAGAATTGTGCGTAGGTGTGTGTAAATGAGAGCCTGTTCCTGCACTAATTTACATTCAGACGTTTTTACTTTCCCTCTAAACTAATACATCTAGTAGGTGTGTGTTTATGTTCTTGTTTGCAAACCGAGAAGTGCTTTGGAGCAGGAGACATAATCCTCAGCGGCAAAAAAACAGTGTGTGCATGCCATGTGCTTTGCATGCCGTGTGCAATTGCAGTGCAAGCTGTAGCCAAGCGGTGGTTACAGGGCATCCAAATCAGGGATGGTGCTCTAGCTGCAGGCATGTATAATACAGATCAGCCTGATAATGAACACATTGATCTGATACAGCACAAACCTCCATGGATATACGGTGTCTATCATCCCTCTCTTTATTCATAGCCAATGTTTGTGTGTCTGCCTTTTCCCTTTGATTGCTTGCCCCCTTCTGTGCATGTATTAGCGTGTTTGTTTACAGACATGAATCATATATGAAGGTGATGTTAAAGGAGAGGGAAGATTTCAAGTCTGTGCAGGTGAAGCATCAAAGTACCCCAAGGCCAAAACACTCCCACACAACTCACCGCTACATACAACAAAAACACAAATTACTCATCAACACTCATACAACCAATCCAGCACCTAATCACCCATGTACATAAATCTACATCAGTTAATACAAATTACATTCATTTGACTTTTAAGAGTTATATGATGTGTTTTTTTTTCACTCCACATTGCTGCACTCCAGCATTGACAGTTTTTAGTTATCTTGGCACACCGACTAACATTTGCATAGAGGCCTCCATTCTGACAACATGCCACCTAGGAAATCCAGCAAGAGGGGGAAGCTCCGCTAGCCGTCGACGAGGTGCTAGAGGACCCTAACAGCTGTTCGCAAGACTCGCACTCTCCACCCTGCCCTTTGACAAGCAATTCTACAAATGGCCGATAATATCACAAAAGTCTTGGAGGAGTCCTCTATCCCAGACACTTCAGGCACATAACTGTGTGCTGCAGAACTTTGGAGAGAGAGAGAGAGCAGACGAGGTGGAGGGAAGAATTCAAGTAGAAGAGGTTACTGACCAAGCTAATCTCTGGATAGTCACAGCTTAAACCAGAAAAGTTCCATTACTCAAGTGGTTCAGCTACAGCCTGAATGAGAAAAGAAAGAAGTATTTTTCACGTTGTAAGAGAAGATCTGCTCCTACTCTTTGTTTTTTTCATGCTTTTAGGTTTTATTTACCAAATGGTGAGTACGTCAAGAGGATATGGTAATCTCCTGTTTGATAAATGGGGAAATCCCTACAGAGAGCGCTGTTTGCACTTCATTAGTATTTTTTTTTTTTAGTTTTGTGTTGCTCAGCTACAGTCTTTAAAGGCGCACTATCAATGACACGGCTTCATATTTTGGGAGACTTAATAAAAAGAACACAATGCCATGTTTGGTCATTAATAAAGACTATGTTTGTGGAATATTAAGGGAGGTCACTCACCGATTAAGACAAAAAAAAAGTTACTGCTAGCCCTGAAAACAGTAAGTGTTGACATAGCTCTCCTGCAAGAGACCCACTCAAATGATAAATAACACTTAAAGTGTTGAACATGTGTTTTTATTTCTTCACTGCTGAGGGCAGAGGAGTGTAGTCGAGGAGAATCAAATGACATAGAAATGGATGATTCAATTTGTTTTAACAGCCCATCAGACAGTCTATAAAATAGAGAGCCAATAAAGTGTTGTAAGAATGACATGCAGTGTACCAAATGGCATGTCTGCATTAGGCTGTCCTTTTTGTTATTGTAAAGGAATGTGCAATAGGACATGTATTTAAATGGCCGGCTCAGTTTTGAATGCCCATATTTTGTCAGAAACTCTAAATGGAAGAAATAAGATGTCCTACAGTAGTTTCAGCATCGGGCAGGAATCTCTTTTCTGTTTTGCTCCTCAGCTTGTAGCTCGAGGCTTGGCAGTGCAGCACCGCTACGTGAATCCCCCAGCTCTCTCCCTCTCTTTCTCCTTCCCGTAGCAGCAGCAGCAGCGGGCTGAGAGCACAGTGTCATTTTGTGTGTGTTTGTCTGTGAAGATGAAATCCTCTCGCTCTCTGTGCTGTGAATGCAAACGCCAGAGGAGATGTACCTAGCTTTGGCTCCCACTTTCAATTTGTCACTATTCATTGCACTTTATTGCTTTTTTAAGATTGACCAAGCAACTCCCCCTCTGGAATTCATCGTCGATTGTGAATTAAACATAGATATATATATTCCTTTTCTCCGTTCCTTTACCCTGTGTCTCATTATTACTGTGTACATCTCTTTCTGGCTCTATTGGTATGACCAACATGTTTTTATTTGCCCGAGCTCATTGATCTTTCTGCTACACCTCCCTCTCTCTCTCTCTCAGTGCTGGTAATGAGGTGTGTGTCTCTGTGGTTTGTTTATTGCTCAACTCCCTTCTCCCAATTATGGGCTTCCTCAGTGATTGTGTGCAAGCAATTATTTGAAGTCGCTCTTTATTCGACTGTCAGCTAAACGCTCAAATTGTGGTTGTAAATGTAGACCATCTGAGAAAGTTTAACTATTGTGCTTGCGTTTTCTTCAAATCTATGTTGTGTTCTAACTTCTCTTTGTAAGTGAGCGATCTATTTATGGGCCTTTCAAGCGACCGTGATGGGCATGGTACATTTGTAGGCTTAGATGGAGCTGCTTTATTCCCCAAACCAGTGCGGTCTTCAGGGACTCTGTTTCTGTCTACGTTCTGAGCTCCTGTTGTACGTGTTGTGCATTTATAAATGAAAGGCATACTTGAATGCTCGGTCATGAGTGGCAGTGGGTTTTCTTCTTTTTAAATACCGCTCATGACTCGCTCTCTGACATTTAGGGTCTTATGCAAAGACACTTATAGCAGACTTTGAGAAATAATCCTTTCACACTGTTTACATTCCTTCACTTTTCTGTCGTCCCTCTGGGACATTAAGCAGTGATGAACACATCCAAAGCTGCTCCAAGAATACATTAAAATATCCTCCTTTCTCTTTCGTTCCTTCCACGAACACTCCTCCACCTATTTCTGCCTTTTGTTCTACTAATCCCTCAACCTCTTCCTGTCAATCTACTTCTTCTTTTGCCCCCTTCATTCACTTTCTCTGCCTTTTTACCAATTTACCAATTCAAATCTGTCCACGACATCGTTAAGAACGGCTTACAAGAGTGAAAAAAATCAGAAACAAATCAAGTATTGAAATTGACTTCAGCAATTACGTCTTTCTCTCTCTCTCTCTCTCTCTCTTTCACTGTCTTTGTTCATTTACAGAGCTTAATTGGTATGATAATAGTTCTGAGTCAAACAAACAACAACAAAGTCGAAATAGAAAGTAATTAGTTTTAACAGTTGACTTCCCCCCCCCCCTCTTCCCCACACGTGTGTGTTTGTCTCCTGAAGCTGAGATTATGCAGTGTTTAGCATGCTTACTTATTTGCATTCGGGTGTTCGTGATTGCGGTGTTTGCGTGTTTGGAAATGAGTGTGTAATCTTTGTATGCACTTTCACAAAAGACTGTTTAACACCAGCTCTTAAGTGAAATGTTTTCTGCTGCTTTCTTTTCTATCAAGAGATTGACTTGCAGAGTAGGACCTGAGAACGCACTAAGTGACTGTTGTCTTCACTGCTTCTTCTGTTTTCTTGTGCTTGTATTTCCTCTGTTTGTGCAGGAGCTATTTAAGAAGTCGAAAGAAGCAGCAGAATGATTCTCTGTGTCTTTTTTTTTTTTTTTCATCTGTTTCTCCATTTCTAGACCAACATCCCGTTCCTCCAGAATGTTTTCTCCAACCACCAGTTCCTCCACTCCACCGTGGACACCCAGTTCATCGACGAGAACCAGGACCTGTTCAACCTGAAACCAACGCAGAACAGAGCCCAGAAGCTCCTGCACTACCTGGGTCAGTGTGTACGCAGCACACTCACACACACATTACACACACATTCAAACAAAGGGCTACTTTCAAATCATGTAAATCAGCGATACTCAACCCGAGGCGCTCGAGCCACATGTGGCTCATTTGGGACCTAGTTGTGGCTCTTTTAGGTCCTACTTGGAGAATAAAAATCCAAAGTAATTATTTAAAAAAAGGGAAACATTGTCAGCAGGAATTATTCTTTGCAAGTCATGTCACTGTGTTTCCCCACACATATTTCAGGAAAGAAAGTAGCTCTTCAGTCTAACAAGGCTGAGTACCATTGATCTAAATGATCCATACACTTCCATGCACTGATTATCAGACCAACAGCCCCACTACCACATATTGACTATCAATTACAAATTGTTTGTGAAGCTTTCATCGTCTTTTGATGAGCCTTTAACCAGGAAGTAAAAGTCTGTAAATAACAGCTGAGCTGACCGTAGGGATTTCCGTGAGGGGACCTCTAATGAAAAAGGATGATGAAATTCTGGCTTTGGTGTGGAACAAGAGGCTTACTGTGACCTTTTTTAAAGCATATAATGGATCTAATAACAGCATTGACATTAGAAATTATATTACATTGTTAATTGGGTTAGTAGCTTGAAGTGGTATGGATATGACCCCAATTTCTAACCTGTGCTGTATAACATAAAGGTACTAAAAGGACTGTGGCTATGCTCTTTAAATACATGCAACAAAAAAAGAGTAGTTATACACAGAGCAGTACCAAAAACAGACTGAACAAGAAGATAGGTCTGCACACTTGCTCAAATGCCACAAAACGTTTTTTTTTCCAATCACCATGTTTGGACAGGATGAAACTTTTTTTTTCCAGTTTTGAACCGAAAAAAAAAATGCATTTCTAGCTTCTTGGCTGTTTTTTTTTTTTCTTGACCCCGACTGACTGTATCTGACTGTTATTCTCTGTTTTTGTGACAGGTCATGTGATGGTAAATGGACCAACCACACCCATCCCGGTCAAGGCTAAGCCCTCCTCCATAGACCCCGTCATTCCTCCGGTCACCATGGGTATGTCAATCAAATGCACCCATAGAGCATAGTTTTCACACAGTTACAACTTGAAACAGCTTCTTAGTATATGGTTTATCACCGCACCTAACCTTTAAAGTTCCACTAATCATCAGCAATGCAATAATGAAATAACTCTGTATTTTCACAGAGCAGTTCTGTGTGTAGGGCAAGGTGTCAACGAGACCAGTAACCGATTCTCTAATCCTACATTTAACCCGTTTAAAAAAAGAAGTGTTGCATCACTACAAAATGCAATCGACTTTTGCCTCGACGATTTCACAATGTATCATCCTTACTACATTTATTACATTTGGACTAATTTAGCAATGGCGCTCCCACTGCAGGGGTTAGCGGTTCCATATCCCCCGAGGCACCCATGCTAAAAATGTAAACACTTGTGGATCCGTAGGGCACTTTGGATAAAAGCACCCAGCGAATGACAAATGGGCTGTCGAACAGTCTGATAGCTGTAGGCGGAGAGGCCTTCCTAAATGGCTCAGTTTAGCTCTCGGGGAGAAAAAGGGCTTTGGCCCAGAGTGCCCTGTTGAGCTGTGAGTACAGTGAAGAGAGGGTGCAGTTCATTGTTTGCGAAGGCTGGGGTTCTGCTCTGCACCAGCACCCCTAAAGTCTCACAGGAAAGGCTAACGGGCAGACTGGCGCTCTTTGATGAGCTTGTTGAGCCACTTAGACTCTTGTGTCGAGCTGTCTGGGTGTTTGTTGTTACACACACACACACACACACACACACACACACACACACACACACACACACACACGCTAGAGTGTCTTAGTGAATTTTGAGAGTTAAACTAAAGCTGAAATATTCATTAAGTACTCGCTTATAAAATTATGAAGAGATGTGATCAGTTTCACTATTAAATATGTTGTAATAAAAGCTTGAAAGTATATAGAAAAATGGTCTTGTTTGACTTGATGTCACAGCATGTCTCTGGCAGTTTTTCAAGGGTAAACCTTTTGTCCTTTTCCTCTGTACTCTCAGATTTCTTTCTTTTGTTGTGTGTGTGTGTGTGGGGGGGTGCAACCTGTATGAATGTATGCAGCTGTTTCCTTTGACAAGAACAAAACAGTCAAGGCTGCATCAATCTGACAACTTTATCAGCACCCTGTTCTGCCTCAGGACATACCCTGTGTGCCCGATAAATCTGAATTTATAACAAATAATATGAATCATAATCAGGCATTACTTATGAAACCTGAGTGTGACAGAGTGGAATAGAATGAGAAACTTGAATCTGCAGTGTTTGTGCACGTCTGCATGCGAGTGATTGGTATCCACCACATCACTGCTTATGCCTGTTTTGTGTGAAAGCTTTTCTCACTGCCCCATGTTATCTCAAGATAGCAAATGCATGTACGTGGTAAAGTCCACACAGTTATGCACAAACTGGAACAGGATACTGAGCAGGTACTCCCTTTGTGTACATACCACAACTTTCCTACTGTACGAAGCAGATGAGGTAGTTGTGTGCAGCACAGGCACGCACAGAGGCATACCTAAAGCCGAGTAATGAGATTTGTAATGTGCTTATATCTCTTCTCTCATTCAGCGGAGGGATTGAGAGAAGAGAGGGATTAGGCCTGTATTATCACACTCTGTGGAGGGAGGGACAGGGGCAGAGAAGGAGAAAGGGGTCATGAAAGAGGCAGAAAGAGAAAGTTCAGGCAGCATATCATCCTTAAGTGTAGAGGAAGCAGTCAGGGTGACATAAGGACAGGTACGGAGATGTGGATAGGTTAATTGAGCAAGATAGATAAACAAGTAAGGGGGGGGGGACAGAGTAGGTGTGTAACTGTGCTCGTCCCACTGAAGAGAGATGGCAAAGATCCAAATGACATCGTCGCATCTCTGAAAAATCAAAACCCCTAGATAAGAAAAAAAGAATTAAGAGAAAACACAATGTGGAGGAGTTCACTGAACGCTGAGGCGAAAAGGCAGAAAGTATTCCTGAAAGCCTGGCTGAGAATGCCATGACAGAACCTGTTAAGAATTCATAGGCCATTACTTTTCTAATTAGATTTGGTTGTCTAAAACACTGATTGCTGGCAGTCCATCGATGTGTAGAACTACACCTTGTTGCAATTATTATCTGGATTTATTTAATAGAGGACATCTAGAGGTTAATCACCAGATGCCTGTGAGCGAGCTTTAGGAAGACTGTCTAATAAAAATGATGGACCGTTTCCTCCCGCCTAGTTGTGAGCTGTATTTCCATTTAAGCATTAAAAGAAGGGCAGTTTGAGGCAATATGCACAGCCTGTACACAAATGCACTCTCTGCCTTTAATATATTTTGTTTATATATTCTTTCTAACTCTGCCTGCTTCTAGTTTGTCATGATTTCATTAGCTATCTTCAAACAGAAAGGACTGCGTTGTATTATTTTTGTTTTGTTTTGGTCCATGGCTTTAAAAGGAGTCCAAAAGTCTTAAATGTGTCTTTCTGGAACCTGGAGATATTTTGGATCTTCTCAGGTGTGTGTACTGTAAAGTTATTTTCTGTCTTCTTTGTTGTTCTTGGCTTATAAAACCTTTTTTTGTCAGTTTTTTGTTTCACACACCCCATAAAACTGTGAAGGAAAACAATTTCTGGTCTTAAACGGTTCGACCTGTCAAATGTTGGCAGGCTGTATTATTGCAATTATGGCTAAAAAAAAATACCTTAAAAAATAAAGGAGTATCTTCTCTGAATTCAGAATAATTTGACACCTGTATCAGACATTGATTTTATGTCACACACATTCATTGATGAACTGTTTCAGCACACCTGACTTTAATTAAAAGACCTAATTAGCAGTCCCACCAGGATCTGCCAATTAAAAGGTTCCTTAACACAAAGATACCAGACGGTTAAGCTTCTTCTTGGGAGGAAGATTTCAGCTCGGGACAGCGACAAGGCAGGCAGTTATTACTCTGAGATTATCGCCTACACAGATTGCAAATAAAGGGAAATACCTCTGAGCGCCGGGGCTCGCTCTGTTTACTCGTATTAGCCGCTAGAGCTGGAGGAGAAGAAGAGCCGACTGAGGAGAGGACCAGACAGGTGAAGAATGTCAAGGAAAGAGGTATGAAGTAATATAAGTCTGAGAGTGGGACGGCGGTGCTTTCAATGCAAAGGAAAGAGGGTGTCTGCGTGTAAGTGGGTCAATTGTCAAGCACAGCAACCGCTATCCGCATGGGACTTGCATCTCTTTACTATTCTTTGTGTTTTCTCTGCTCGATACAATGGCACTCAAATCTACTCAAACTCTGGCTCCACTTCTCCAGGAAAACTGTCACATTCATAGGCCATTGTTTAGTCGCTGTAGTCTCACTACAGGTGCCCTCATTTTCTCTCTTTTTGTGTTAAGACATGCGTCAAAAACAGCACAGCTGGTAAAACGTGGAGAGCAAGTTTGTAAGGACTGCATGGAGAAAAAAAAAAATCGAGCGTAAAACATTAATTTTTCTGTGGACAGATCTTGATAAGTTCAAAGTGTCAGTTTGCTGCAGCAGTGTGATTTGAAAGAGCTCATTAAGTGTGTGAGCTCATTCTGTGCTTGCGCATATGTTGACCTATGCATCTACATCGGTGTGTGTGGAGGCCATTTTGCCGGTGCTTTCGAGACAATTATAGCAGACATCATTTGTTTTAAAGGATGTGGCACAACAATAAAAGGTTAGGAGCAAATACTCAACTACACAGAGAGTGAAGAAAGGGAGCGGGTAAGTGAGATGAGAGGGGGGGGGGGGATTAGAGGACAAGCAGGCAGGCAGATATTAGCTCATTAACTCGTCTAATTGATTGATCACTGTACACATCTCAGTAAAAAAACAAATAGATCCCAATTCCACTCGCAATGTTTTATTGCCTCTAGTTGTGCTGGTGTTAAATTGCAGAAGAAGACCTTTTGTCTGCCTCTTACCAACCGTTCTCACATGCAGACTTTCTTAGCCTTAAGCTCTGGGGTTTTTTTTTTTTTTTCACTGCCAACATTAGCGATTTGTTGCACCATGTCAGTTTCCGTTTGTCTTCATTGTTTATGTCTTCTGGTATCTATCTGGTTTTATTAGATTACCAGATCATCTTATCTAGAGCTTTGCTCCCTCTGAAACACCCAGTAGTCTTATCTCATAATATCCGAGGGTCGTATTCCATTATTTTCAGACCTTTTTAGTGTGTGCGTGATGCAACCGCATTACTAACCACTTCTCTTTTTAAAACTCCTTTATTCCAAGCCTAGCTTTGTATTCCTTTGGCTTGGCTAAACATAGAAAAAAAACAATATTATATGGAACATGGACTAAATTATGTGACATGGCAGTCTATCTAGCGTTTACCAGCCAGATATTGAATTTAAATATATACCATACTTCAATGTAGGGGAGCATGAAACCTCCTCATTTGCTGGTTTTGTAAGACAATGTGGATTTTAAAACCAGGACCCGATAATGGTAGAATATAAGAGGTGCATGACGAGTGCAAAAGCAAACATTCTGGAATCAATTCGCCCTGAGGTGGAAACCATTCAGTTCCAAGCTGGTTTTCTTGTTTCGCTGAACAGTAGCTACTTACTTTATATAGAAACCATTGCACATATGAGTCACTGTCAGCAGTAGAAATCCATTTTCACAAATCAGTGGGTGGTGTGTCTAATAAGCCAGCTGCTGCTGAGCTTATTCCTTTTTATAGTTGATCGGAATGAGCTGAGGGCGATTGGAACAGCAACGAGAGGAGATGGCGACCACCTCATTAGCAGAAGTTATGACAAGCCCTGCACACGAGCCCTTGTGTTAACAACACAACTGGAAAGTGAACACTGTGTGTAAATAACACCAGTTTACTCGCTCACTTGGCATCTTCTACTTGTGGAATTAAATTCTCGTCAGACTCTTGAGCAGTCTAAAGTCAAAACTCCAATTATGATTGGATCAACAAGGGGGCTACTCCTGTCTAAATAAATGCCAAAGTTAAGGTTAATAACTTACCTGCACAATCAGAGATTCAGTTTTTAAACTTCACTCTAGATTCTGATGTTTATTTCTCACAAATTGTTTTATCTCATGATTAACAACAAACCTGTTTCACCTTCATCAGCCCTTTGATTCGTTCTTCTATATTAACTTCCTACTGTACCCCATCTCTTTGTCTCCCAACCTTCTTTTCAGGCGACCCTCCTCTTGGCTTCCGGGACATTTTGCTGCGCGACGGTCCTGAGGGCTTCGCCAAGGCCGTCCGCGCCCACCAAGGTCTGTTGTTAATGGATACGACCTTCAGGGATGCCCATCAGTCACTCCTGGCAACAAGGGTTCGCACCCACGACCTGAAGAAGATCTCGCCTTTTGTGAGCCACAACTTCAGCAACCTTTTCAGCCTGGAGAACTGGGGAGGTGAGTTTCTAAACGCTTTCCTTAACGGGAGCATGTGTGTGTTTGTCTTAGTCCATGGCCTATCATTGCCATGTGGTGTAGCAGGCCTGACAACATTTAGTTTGTGATTCAGTCTTTTGAAATTATTTTTAGTGGAAGAAGTTTTAAAGCACAGGGACGTTAAAGGAACAGCCTGTTGTTAGTGCGCTTCTTCAGTACTGTTGTCATAACATATACTTATTTATTGAATTCATCAAGTAATCTGAAAAAAAGAATCAATAGATTGATCCATTATTAAAATGAGTAATTTACAGCCCTTATTGTAAACACTTAAGTTTCTGTACAGAACAAACTGAAGACTTTTAATGTTAGGCTAACTGGAAAAACAAGGCTAAACTAAAATCTTCTTGCTGTAACTACTTTTTTATTTGACTGTTTTTAGCACACAGACACAAATGATATCAAGTTTAAATATATATATACATACAATGAACTACAACTACTCCACCATTTTATGGTCAAAAGAGTCTCGATAACTGAGATCAAACCTGTAATAGATGATCTCATTAAAGCAATTGTGGAAAAAAAACGGCACGAATGTCCCTTCTTCTGATCCCTATCACTTTAATTAAACGCTTTGTGTGTGTGTGCGCCCCTGTGTTTTAATTTGTCTGAACAGCCATGCCTGTACTTTCTATTCTCTCCCCCGCTCTCGCCGTAGATCTGTTTCATGTTTCATTGATGGGACTTGATTGCGCTTCTTTTGTTTTTCTTTTTTGAGTCGTGGAAATCAGGTGCCATTGAAAACGTATCTCATGCCTCCATCTCCCCTCCAAGGAGTCGGCCTTTAGCAAGTTCCCTCAGAAGACAATGGCTGTACCTTTCCCCTGCTTCTATAATGAATAGAAGGAAATCATGCATTATTGAAACTTCTTGGTGCGTGAACAGTCAAATAGTGTCCCTGTATAATGTGCAATTACTGCAAAATTGGCCAGAGAATAAAAAGATGTGCCTCATGTTTGAACAGTTGGCAACAAGACCAATTATTAACACTTCTTCATAATGACCCTACGTAAGACAACTGAGAACTGTTTTCAAAGAGTCAATTCATTTTTCTCATTTTGACAATCAAACACTTTAAACAGAAACATTTGTGGATGAGATGTGTCCAGTGAATATTTAATTTAACGCTCAATTATTATAAACCACTCAGAGTGATTGGGCTCACATTTGTAGTGCTTTGAATTGACGAGGGCAGAACAACACAAGCCTTCAGTGAATAGTCTGTCTCATACAGTTCACTCACGGTTACATGGATGAAGAATGTCTGGAAAATATAAAAAAAACACAGGAGAGACTTTCCAGTGAAACCTCACCGGTGCTGTAACCCCTTTCTCAGATTAAATTCCTCCCAGTAGCAGATCATTATGCACCAGTTAGGGGGAAGCAATATATTTCATTACTGTGGGAGAGCACATCTCATATTAAGCTACTGTCTACTCATCTCATGTTTGAACTGAAAAAAAAAAGGTTATGGCAAAAGTAAATCAGTGAGGAGGGATTTCAATAGAAAGGGATTAAACACTTTCTGACTTCCATCTTTACATACATCCAGATGTTACGATGAGACTGACCGAAGGAGGATGATGTGAATTCATCTGATTCACATTAGAGGAGTAACATTAAGAGTAGATCTTTGAGGAGCGACTTAAAGACCTGCGGTGATCTCAGCCTTTCACTCTGGAGGAAGTCACTGAATAGGAGGCAGGGGGACTCATTATACCGTTTGAGCTGAGTGCTATATTTAAGGAGTTAAAAATGTATGTAATTATGCATGTATAATAGTGAATCACACAACCTCATGAATGGCTGCTCCCCCTGTACTGCAGCGTTTCACTTGGTCTAAACACAGACCTTGTTCTGTTAAAGCTGAATGTGAGGAGCTTTTAGCTGGTTATGAAACAGACTGGAAAGTATTAAGATGCCTCTTTATGACCGACTAAAGCAAAAGAGAACATCAGTGAGTTTCTATAGAGCTCTTTTAATGCCTGTAAACATTACTGTAGGAAGAAGTTGGCCTTCTAATACAGCAGATTTGTCTTGGCTTCAGCTGCGTGACAATCTGGAAACTCTTTGAAACAGACAAAAGACATCCTACGTCAGGACCATTTCGTTTAAACATTTGAGGAAGTAAGGGTTACTCATTCATTTGCATCCCCCTCTACCCCACTTTCACTCCCTGACACAGTGTCAGCAGATGTTCTACATGAGTCTGGTTCTGCTCTAGGCTTCTGCCTCTTAAAGGAAGGATGTTGGGTCTTTGAAAACAATATATGACAAAGAGTAACTCTTTTTGTAACACAAATAAAGATTGATTGATTGGGGTTTTCTAAACTGAGAAGAGGGTTGGAAAAAAAGGCGGATTGAAAAGCCCTTAAAAGTTTAAACCCTGGTTCCATTGAAGTGTTGCAGCCAGAGATGAATCGGCCGTGGCTAGAAACTTTAAAAGTAAAACGATGGGTGGGTTGTAATTAGCTCAAGTACGAAAGATTCAAACCCACTTTAAGCCTGGTTTGGGCTGAAACAGTAGACACGTCGTGAAAAAATAATAGTCAAGGCGGCACTTTCTTCCTCGTACCCTCAACAGAATATTTCTCAGTACGAGATATAATTATGCTGAAGTTAAGACTCTTAAAGAGAGCGTTTGCTGCACACAATCTCCAAGTAAACACTGCAGATGAAACTGGTGTGAACTGAAATGCATGATAAAACAGCAATAGAAGAGTGGATACATCTTCCTTTGTGTCTCTCCTCTAAACTCTCTCATAAAGCGCTAATGTTTGAGCTGCAGCAGGATTCTAGTCTGAAATCTTCTGTCAATGAAAGCTCCTGAAGTTCAAACACTCCTCCGTCTTCATAATGTCAGAGGAAGTGAATGTGTGCTTGTCTGGCTCCCATTTAAACAACGACAGCAAGAGTACATCACGGAAATCAAATGTAAAACACGAGTTGGGGGAAGTTTGAACATCTCCTGACATAACGATTCTGTAATGCTCTGATATTATGAGCTCGGAGTGTCTGTCTTAGTTCGGGAAAGTTGTGGAGAGCGTGTGAATCATCAGAAAGAAATGCAATATTCTGGTGGAGCCTCTTGAGGCGTCAGTTCTTCCTGCATGATTTGATGATGAGTCACAGAATACTACTTTCTCATCATTATTTAAAACACCTTAAGGCAGGATCAATTCTAGAAAGAGGTATGTCCCTGAAGGCTTCCTGTGACTTTAGAAAAATACTACTAATAATCCTTGTTTGCATATTCATATCGTCGTGCCTTTTTGACACCAAATGTTTGAACGTGACAGTAAAAGTTCATTTCAGTTGACTGTTTAGACTTAACATACAAAGAGCCAGTGGTTGACCTTTTTTCATTTATTTACTTTCAAATCCCCGGTGAGGATGCATTTGCTCAAGCTCCACATCTGAGCACGACCTGTAATCTTTCTTGAATGAGATTAAATTATTTACAGTCTTTGTTTTCTAATGGAAGCCAAACAAGTGTATGTTTTCAGAATTCAAAGCGTTTGCCGGTTTCTTGATTTAGAGTAAGGACTTTGAGCAAGTCTCACATGTTAGCATCTGCTCCTCGTCTTACGTTGAAAACATGTAAGCAGAACATTCTTCAAAAGAGCTTAAACGCTGATTACAGGAATTTGATAGTCTTGTTTTAGCAGTAACATTAAGAGATGGAGGATATCTGACGAGGTAGCAGAGAAGTCTCTTGTCCCTGTATATCTCATTGTACTGTCTGAAGCAGTGCCAACAACAGACGCTGTTTTTATCCATTAAAACGCCCTTTTAACATTGAATTGTTTCATTTGAAGACCACGTAGCTGATAGTTTATTCTCTGCTGATAGTGATATTTAACTTTTTCCTTGTGCTCTGAACACATATTTCTTGTGTTTCTCTGTAGAATTCCTTTTTTTTGCCTTTTTTAAATATCTGTATATAAATACAGTTTTCTTGCAACAACGGAAAAAAAAAGGTATTGTCAGCAACTAAGCAACAGGGGCTGATCTCCAGACTTGTCGTGACATTGTGTGATTGACGTTTTTTTAATACCTCTGCTGCCTTTCTTTTGAATAATGCGACTCAGCGGACTCGTTCCCTCGACCAGCGTTTTTCAAACTTTACCAGCAGAGAAGCACATCATTGCTGGGGAGCTTTTAGGGCCACAAAGGGCTCCAAACAGCTCCTGCATCCACAGCTTGATACTTCCAGATTTCAATTACAATGGAGTGAAGTAGTCATGCACCTCCTTTTCTTCCACTTAAATGATGCGTTATTTATTGCGTTGTTAATCGCTTTATGCAGCTGGCAAAGAAATATTTGGATTACTTTAGCTTTACAGCTCCCCTTTCTGTTTCTTCCTTAGTCAATGTGCTTTGCCCTGCTGACTTGTTTCATCAGTATGTTTCATTAAGTTGCCTGTAAACACAACTCCACGTTTCAAGTTTGTTTTGTTTCACCCATGATCTGTTGTCACGACAGGAGGAAGCTTGTTAATAATGGGGCGTATCAAAAGGAACTAAAACGCTGATTGTTGGGTAATGTTCCCAAATTACACAACTAGATGCTTACAAAACAACAACAAGAGGTCGATTTAATTCTGCATCCTGTAACCTTACTTGGGCCCTTCCTAACACAGACTTTGTCACTCAGCCGCAGGCATTGACTCAGGCTTTATCTGGATCGTCCAGAGTAACACAGGACATCAAACTATCGTCTTAAGAGGCTTCAGGCTTCTCCTGGTGACTTCATCTGAAAATCATTGAAGTGCCTCTTTATTAAGAGATTGTTGTAGCCACTGACAGTGTCTCAGGATGCTGTTTTTATAATATTGTTTGTTTCCATCCCCACTGTTATAATCCTCCATTCACTCAGCTTTCCACATCCAAAGTTCCCTGATTCTCTCCATACCAGCCATGCTCTCGCTTCATATTGATTCAAGCTGCAAAACACAAATGAGAGTAGCATGCCGCCGTTAAAAGTTCAGCTGTAATACACACTGTCCCACAGTGACAGCTAGTAACTCTACCTTTTTAAAGAGTCCCTCATAAATCACTGTTTGACCACAGGAGAAATAACTAGCCTGCCTTTTTTTTTTTTTTTTTTTTTGATAACAGCTCCCTATACAACGCTTTTATTGCAAAGTGATCACAAATGGAGGATTTTACACTCTGTTGGGCTTAAATCACTTAGAAGCAAATAAATCACTGAAGGGGGATGACCGCGTGAGTATTGAACGATGTTTCGCCGACATATAGTCCCTATGCAGGAATCTTTTTTTTTTTTAACACGGGGATCTAAGATAGGGAATATTGCTTTCACATGTTTCTGCTGCTTAAAGGCAGAATGAATCATTGAAGAGATTAAGCCTGTGAAAGGCTTTGAGGATTAAGTCCCTTCCTGATATAGCGTTACTCCCTACACCATCGCGGATACAGTAGTTTGAAATGGGTCACATAAAGTATCTATATGGTTCCCTGTATCTGGGTAACAATGAGCACATTTATCAGATGCTAAAGCAGCAGATTGTTAATTACTGTACATGATCGTTCTGGTGTGAGCAGATTATTCTGCACTGCTCTGCTCTAATCAGCGATTCAGAGAACCTTTTGTATGTTTGAAGGGATGGGATCTTTTTTTTTTTCCAGGAGAGGCAGACACATAAGAGCCCAGAAGTCTTTGCCAGCGAGCGCAAATCAACCAGTGGAGAACTATAAAGAGCATCATAGATGACATAAAAATTGATCAGGAAGGATAAACTGTCTGATGCATCGGAGTAATAATTGCACAGTTACGCAAAAAAACGCTGATAACTACTGAAATATGTGTTTTTCTGTAACTCAAGGATTCAAATTATAGATATGAATCACTTTAATTCGTCATGGGATTCCTTTATTGGCTCAACAGCATGAAATAAAAATGTATTTTATAGAGCTTTATTTTCTCACCAGGGGAAAAGAGGACGGAGTAAAGACTTGGAGTAAACAGTTTTATTATTGAGTTTTGAATCAGATCTACTTTTACATAACATACTCAGAGAAGATGTTACAGGCTCATATTTTCCAACACCACCTATTCTAGGAGACAGTTTCCCCCACAATAACTCTTTTTTTTTTCTCCCTCGCTGTCTTTAAACATTACACGGGGTGTTGAATACAATGTCGGCAATCGTGGGCGTTGCGTAAAAGGCTTGTTTCCATCTTTCCCTCTGATTTAATTTGGTTCATCTTCATGACAGATTGGAGGCTGCCTTTCTTCCCAAATAGACGCAGTGAATACCGCAGTGTCTGTGCCTAATGTTCTGCAATGTGCGACCAGCTGTCAGTCTTCATTCCTGTTATCAAACTATTAAAGTCACTTCTGCCATCCCGGAGGAGTTTCCTCCCTCAGCATCCTGGCTCTCTCTATCTCGTGTGCCTTTTAAAAATCATACTAATATGTTTAACATCAGATAGGGTTGCTTGAAGTCGTTTCCACTCTCACCAGTAAGGAAAAGCTGACATCGGCTCAAATTGAAATCAGAGGGGATGAAAAATTGATAAAGAGCAGAGTTTTTTCGGAGGCATTCCTGCCCCTCAAAGAGCTGGGAACAAGCTGCTGTGCTTTGTATTCTCCCCATGTCCAAATGTACGACTTCTCCCAGAATGAAATTTAATGATGGCACTGTTGGATCAGCAGAAAACCACTGGAGGCTTCAATATTTCTGGCTGATATGATAAACGGGTATGAGATCCGCTAATCTACTCCCCCCAGAAAGGGAAATGAGAGTTTGCTATCTTGTTTTTTTTTGGGTTTTTTTCCTTCTCCACTGAAACATTTCTTAGATTTTAAAGTGACTTTAGAATAAAACGATGAAAGCGTTGGAAGGAACAATGAATGTGCGAGTATCATGAGATTTTATTTGAGCGTCCATTAGTGTGTATTACACTGCATGTGTGCCATCTGTGCGGGTTGTGTAATGGGATCAGTTTGAAATATTAGTTTCTGTGTCTCATATTGAGATCAAAGTCAGGATGACAGATGAGTCTTGAGATGACAACTGAAATAAACCACCACCCTTCTCCCTGTCTGTCTGTGTGTGTGTGTGTGTGTGTGTGTGTGTGTGTGTGTGTAGGTGCTACCTTTGATGTGGCCATGCGCTTCCTGTCAGAGTGTCCGTGGAAGAGGCTCCAGGAGCTCAGAGCTTTGATCCCTAACGTCCCCTTCCAGATGCTGCTGAGAGGGGCCAACGCTGTGGGCTACACAAACTACCCTGATAACGCTGTCTTTAAGTGAGTCAATCACACACACACACACACACACACACACACACACACACACTTCTACATCTTATACCTACACCTTCTGTAAAAATAAAGAGACCACTGCAAAAGATACATTTTGCCTCAGGTTCTACGTGTATTTTAGGATTTGTGTTTTAATAAAATGAACTTATTTTTATTGTAGACATTTCTCCCAGCTTGAAAATATAATCTTCTTATTTAGGTATTTTAAAGTGACACGTGTTTTAAGATGACATATGTTGAAGAAATGACTAAGACTTGACTCCACACGATAAGACTCAGTTGATGACAGTTGATACATCAGATGAATACTCATGAGGAGACATGATTCAACATCACACTTCTGTACTCGTGTCTTGCTGAGGCATCGCATACATCCTAAAAGACATTATCAGGGTCGTGTCACATTGACCCGCCTAGACTAAACTGTGACGTCAATAACACTGGAGTAGACGATAAGTCTACCAAACATCTTTTGCAGATATCAGGAAGTTAACCCTCTCTAAGCTGTCCTTGGTGGTCTAATAACAGCTGAACTCTGTCAGGTCTGACTGACATTAGAGAACAGTGAATAAACCTAATGACGTCTGTTACATTATAATCTAAATAACTACAGACATTCCACCACAACATATTTGTCAGACCATGAATGCAATGAAAAGAGCTCATATGGATTTTGAACAATTGATTACTAATGTTTAAACGAAGGATGAGTTCAGAAATCAATTTCATGACTCATGGCCGGCTTGTCATCACTCTGTCTCATCACTGCGAGGTGACGCTGTGCCGCTGTCGGGGGCAATCAACACATTGGGAGGCTTGTCAGTTTTATCACCAAATCATCAAGTAGAAAGTGTAAAGTGTACCTGTGTTGATATTCAACAGGCACTGGAACAGAATGGCTTCCATCTGTGTGGAGATACTTTAATTTTTTTGGGGGGGAAATATGATGCAAAGACTTAAAGGAGAAGATTTAATCTACAAGTTGGGAAACGTTGTCTGCAATAAAACATCCAAAAGTTCATTTGATTCAGATTATTCACACACCTATTAATAGCAGAAATAGAAATCATTTTGCAGTGATCTCTTAATTTCATTTTCCTGAGCCGTATCTCTGATCTTCTTGAAGCCAGCTGCTGCTGCTGCTCCGTCAATCATATAATTATCAAAATGATCCCTGACTGAGATGTCTCCATAGGAGCAACATTGGTGTCCATCAGTTGAATACAGATCCTTTTTATTCCAGCGGCCTATTCGCAGTCAGGGCTATAGCATGAGTGGAATTTAAAACGGAAGAGAAAATGACTGCCTTCTGTGGGTAACAACATGCACAACTCAGTGAGACCAGATGAGGGTAATTACTCCAAACAAAAAAGGGCCAAACAGCAGCAAGCTGAAGCCACGGGACATCGCTTTTGGTGGCAGACAAGCGTTGTTTATTTGCCATACTACTCTGTTTCCAAATGTTCTTTTGTAATTGTACATTTCATAGTTATCATTAAAGTAGTTGTTAACATGATTAGGGTTCATCTTTTATTTGTGTTCCTCAGTTTAACGGTCTGTAGTTAAATGTCAGATTTCTGTTTGGGGCGTCATTCATAACAAACATGGCTGCTCTGATAGCATTTACTACGTGTTTCTTTTCTCAGTTTGATCTGTGAAATAGTTTTTCTGTAGTTGTTGCAGATCATGATGTGCGAGTGATCACTGAGGCTGGTGTTGTTGTTTGAGTGTTTTCAAAGCCCATCTGGGCAGAACAGCATGAGGAGCAGAACTGAACTATCCTTCTAACCCCCCCAGTTAATATAACGGTTTTATCTGAACTTTCACTTTTGCACTTTTTCCTGATTTGAAACAACTTCTGAATACTTTGAGATCATTCATTATTGACTTGATGAACTTTGTGTTAACAGTATTTCTCAGTAAAGATACATTAAGCATAATTCATCTGCAGTACATTACAACACTGCTGACTTAAAACACGATTCTGATTGGACAGTTATCACAGCAGCAGTCTGCTATCCCTCAATGGTACACCGTTGTCTAGAAAGAAACAAAAAAAACATTTGGTATGAAAAGCGATTTCCAGGGACGCGGCTCTAACCACAGCTTCACGCGGTCATAGTTTCAGTCGACGGGAAGAAGTCTGGGTTTTCTCACCGTGGGGGAAAAGGGAAATGAAGGTTAAGATGCAAAACGGTCAGTATTACAGAGGAATCTACACAACAAAAGAAATCATAGTTTTGTGTGAAAGTGTTGCCTTCTTAAGTAAGTATAGCTGTGTAATAACTGGGCTAATGCAAAGTGACCTGGTTTATATAGCCGAGGAGTTCCTCAGGGTGAGATAAGACCTCTTCCTTTCCTCTACAACAACCTGCTCACTGTACATTAGCTCTTTCATATTGCACCTTCTCACACCTATTAATGACCTATTAGTTATTTTTACCTTTTTTTTTTCTCCTTACCATCTCATTCTACAACATGAACCGCCTTTTAATGCAATACTCTCTTTCTGTATTTTAAATATACTGACCATTTCACTGACTTTTTTTCCCCCCCTTCACATGAATAAAATGACACCTTTCACATGCGTTGTGTAATTTCTCCCCACATGCAGAATAAAGTGTTCAGATAGGCTGCTTCTTCCTCTCTCTTCATATCTAAATGATACACTGTGCTGTAGCTGCATACAAGCCACAGAGCAGACACGAACATTTAATCAGGTCAGCTCAGATGATGTTTGCATGTTGCCTCCCACCATGTTCAGCGACTTGCACACAATTGACACAGCATGGATACAGAAATAACCATTAACGCATTTAAGGCCATAACATCCTGTGCCTACACACATGCATAGACACGCCTCAAATACTTTTCTAAACGGCTTCACGAGCTACCTCAATGATGTGCATGACTCGTACTCACACACACACACACACACACACACACACACCTGCATGCTGATTTATGCACAAACACCGACAAGGACACACGCATGCAAAGTGTAATTCCCCTCACCCTGGATAAATTAGAAGTGGCTTTATGACTTATGCAGCTGTCCCCTCCTCCCTCTAACACACAGACCTCCCCTATCCTCCCTGTTTCTCTGCACCCCCTCCCCCCCCCTCCTATCATACAGCCATTATTTATCCCCAACGTTATGACTCCACTTTTTATACCTCCATTCATCTCTCTGCATTACACACTTCTCCCCTCTTCTTAACTCCCCTCTTTCCACCCCGTGTGCTCATCATCTCCTTCTCCTCCCTCTCACTCTTAGAGTCCCACGGGGGGGGGGGCGCCATAGTACACAACTCTGATTAATGGCTTTGATCTGTTTTCCAGGGTCTCCCAATCCCATCGCTCCTCGACTCTCTCCCACCCACCCTCTGTCACTCTTCCATCCTTCCGCCCTCTTGAAGCCAAATTGGCCTGAGCGTCTTCATTAACAAATCTGTTTAATTCTAATTTACCTCATTCAAAGTGCAGGTCACATGCCCAAAGATGAATGTGTGCAGTACTCTACCCAAGACAAATGTCCCCAAGGGGACAATATATTTTCTCGTATCGTAATGTAACATATGCATTAAGCCTTGTAGATTGAAATAATAAAATAACTACACAGTTACGCCTTGTAAGGGCTGAGCTTTTCCTAACAGGAAAACGATTCTTGTCCTCTCACAAATGTACACAACAGCTTTGTTTTTTGATTTGCTGCCAAACAACATCTAGCTGTTTGGCCCTTGTAAGCGTTCGAGGAGCTAAATAAATAGTGGACGCACAGACGTCGGACCAATAATCCTCTCGCGGCACAAACATTAAGTGTGTCTGTTTATTTGCTCAAACAAAAGCTCTCAGTGTGTGTCAATATCGCACTCACAGCAACACAGCCACTGTAAGCGCTCACCCCAGTTCTGAAAAACCTGATTAAGATACGGAGGCCAAGGCAATAATAGGAGGGATTTACCACTAGCAGCTTGGATAATGAGGCGGGTATACATTGCTCCGCAGTTATTGTGGGCTCCTGCAGGCTGTGTAAGCTCACTTTTCATGGCAAAGGTGAGGATATTGTGTTTGCGCAGGTACGATGATATTTATGACCGGAGATAGGGAGATGAATATAAACAGCTTATCCCAACCTGGATGGTGCTCTATTATCCAGGATACACTGTGCATGAAGACAAACTCATTATATTTGTCTGAGTGATCATCCTGCAGTGCTCAGTGCTGCAGTTTAAGCCATGACAGCCTCTAACCTATTTCTGTCTCTGATTTGAATGTGGATTTAAAAAATGCATGCAGAGGAGGGTACATGCCGCTGGCTAACAACATCTCCCTCCCCCAGGTTCTGTGAGGTGGCAAAGGAGAATGGCATGGACATTTTCCGTGTGTTCGATTCTCTTAACTACGTGCCAAACATGCTGCTAGGCATGGAGGCCGCTGGGGCTGCAGGCGGTGTGGTGGAGGCCGCCATCTCGTACACAGGCGACGTCTCCGACCCGATGAGGCAGAAGTACTCGCTGGACTACTATCTGAAACTGGCAGATGAGCTCGTCAAAGCCGGGACGCACATTCTTTGTATCAAGGTGATGAAATATGAATAAGACTGAGTGTTTTTAAGTGTTTACTGCTGAGAGTTCCAGAAAAAGATAACTTTTTTTTTTTTCCCCTTCACCGTGATAATCTGACAATTCTGGCACGCATTGTTTGCTTCTGTGTGCAAATCCCCGCCCATCTGCCATCAGAAGAACATAAAGCCAGTTGGAAAGAATCTTTGTGAGAACTTATTCACCCAGGCGTGTTTACACACTTTATTACACACACATCCACTTGTTTGCATGCGTGTCAACATAACAAGGGCCTGCAGTAACTACAGCTAATCATTATGGCTGTATTACTTGGCTGGCGAGCGTTCATTCATCTTGTGTTCATTTGATTTGATCTACGATAAGTACCATTGGCAGGTAATGGCCTGGCTCAGACTACAGGAGTTTTGGACCTGTCTTTGCCCCTCCCTACATTATCGGAGGTTTCTGCTTCTTCTGGTAACATGAAGAAGTTTTAACATCCACTTCTAGACCTCATGAAAGTCCAACTCAACAGAGTCATACCCTCAATATCAAACTTTTTTCATTAATAAGGATTGACTATTTGAACAATAAAAGTAAATCTTTTGAATCTGAGAGAGAAGGAGATCAAGAAAAAGTAAACTAGCATGGTTCTGCTACAAAACTCGGGCCGTTCACGTTGTTTTGCAGTGTATTCATGTTTGAGAATAACGTCAGCATGATTTCAAGTTTCTCGTTGTGTTTGATGCAATTTGATTTTTGAATTATCTTGGTCTTTAAACTCCTGTAGTCCAACCCTCAAACTTTGAAATGTAAAACTATAAATTATGAAGGTGTTGGGATTATTTGAACACGTGGGCAGGCTGTTTTAAATAAGCATTACTACCCATACTAAACACTACCACTTCTCTAACCATTATCTGATATTAAAATGCCATCATGTAAACTGACATGCAGTAAAAAAAATATATAATAAATTTTTTTGACACTGAGAACAAGCCCGCCTTTCGATTAGCATTTATTGAAATATAAAAGAACTCGACATGTGAACTGTTGAACAGAGCAGAAGTTTTTTCTTTTTTTTTCCCACTTGCCTCCATCAACACAACTTGTGTACTTGAGCCGCTTATCTAAATGGAATAGCCCGATAACGCTCACATGAAATTAATTTCTTTATTCAAGCATGACAGAATATTTTCAAACGTGAAATGATAAACTCCCGCTCCACCCCGGTGCAAATCATCGCACACAGCAGTGACTATCTCATAAAAGGCTTGTTCAGCTAATGAGGTTAACTTTTAAAAGAGGAAATGAGCAGCATGCATTTTAACTTCCTGCTGTGCAGTGATCACCAAAGGGAGCTTAACGAAACATCGAAGCTCCATCTGTGAATTTCTGTTAATATCAATTAAGCTTTAGGAACTGTATTCATCCTCAGAAGAAGTGTCCATTTGACACCTTTTCTAAAAAAAAAAAAAAAATCAAGATTCTTGTAGACTTTTTCGAAATGTGCTGAGTGGCTTCAATTTAACAATTCTTTATTTATGGAGAATTTCAGTCGTCAGTAGTTCTACCTGGCTCTAATGGCTGAAAGAAGTTTTGGTGTTTGTTGTGAACATGCTGTTTTCAACTCATCCGATTGGACCAAATGATCAACACATAGTGTTCTGTTCAGCGTTTATGAAGAGCCTCGGGCCAGTTCTGCATTCACAGTCCTACTAATGAGAATGAACACAGGTTGTTCTCATCAATCATGTTTCACTTGGTCCAGGACTCTATTTCCAAATTCTCATGTTACAGAAACCCACCAACACAGGATTAATGCATAGAGATACAGGTTTACATCTGTGTTTAATAGACTCACTAAAGATCCTGGACCAGAGAGCTTTAGAAAAAGTTTAAATACCGTAAAAGAGAATATACCTTGTTGTGTATTTTTCACATTTAGATCTTTAAGCTCAGTGAGAGCAAATATTCATTCACCCCTTAACCCCCTCTTCCTGCATCCTTTTCTTATCAGGATATGGCAGGCCTTCTGAAACCAGAGGCCAGCAAGCTTCTGATCGGCGCTCTGAGAGACCGTTTCCCAGACGTGCCCATCCACGTGCACACACACGACACTGCAGGAGCCGGTGTAGCCGCCATGCTGGCCTGTGCAGAGGCTGGAGCTGACGTGGTGGATGTGGCTGTAAGTGTTGATCCAATTTCATTCTGAAGATTTCTCACAATGTCAAGGGACCAGTTTGGTTTGGATTTCTTTAAGGGTCCAATTACTGCATTAAAACATGAGTTGGAAAGTCAAGATGCTATTTAAATCTTTTTTTTTTAATGATCATTGAAGGTTGAAATATTTCCTTCTATTTGTCAGGATTGAAGCTTGTCATGTTTACTATTTGGATACCTAGATCATCCCACAAATATTCCTAACACAAGATTTTCCCCTTGTTGCTGCAGCATTGTGAAATCTCAGTGAAACATCAGAAATGTTTTCCTGACTGTGTGTACTGATGCGTGCTGCCAGCATGGGCAATTTCATTGAAACATTTGGCCGCACGTTTGCAGTTTGGACTGGATAAGCTAATCAATTCAGGTTCCTGTAGGGTTTAGTTTAGAAACAACAAACCGTCCACCAGAAAAGCACTCCAAAAACGTGTTTGCATTGCCTAAACGCTCACATTTTGAACATATGCGCACACAGATTTGCACCCGAGTAAACCGTGCATCCGTTCTCCATGTAGATGAAATCTCACCACGCGCATCTTAAAATGAGGCTTAAAAACAAAGACTCTTTATCAAAACACTTTTCATAACTTTTCACTTGGCAGGTTGACTCCATGGCCGGGATGACATCACAGCCGAGCATGGGAGCCATGGTCGCCTGCGCCAAAGGGACCAAGCTTGACACGGGTAAGTCACGTCAGAGTCAGTGAATGGAACCAGAGAACAGACAGTTTTATTTTTATGCTTAAAAGGTGCATTGAAACATAACTTATCATTACTGCTAAGTGGAAAAAAATCAGGAGAACAGGTTGGAAAGTGTAGGTGAAACCAAAATACCTTTTACTATCCACTTAAAGCGGTTAATGAGACAGAATATCTATCAGATTATCAGTCTTGCTCAGAGATTATTACTGTGTCTTGCTGAGTCTCCTGATTCTCATGAGGTGAAAAAATCAATGAACAGATCAATAGATGACAGAGCGCATCACTAACTACGGCTGTATGTCAGAAAGGCCGACACATTCTGCTCAGTGATAACGTAGAGAGGAAGGCCAACCCTCAACCCAGCCCAGGTTGACAAATAAGAACCGGTTTCACTTTTACCCTTTCTGTCAACAATGCTTGAGTGAACAGTCTTTAATCAAGTCTGAATTCCTGTCTAAAACCAATCTGTTCAAACCAAATCCGTCTGACTGTAAGCAGGCCACGACCGATACCGCACTTCTGTCTGGAACAGAATCGCTACATTTGGCCAGAGCTGCTGGTCAGTTCTGTTGCTGGTCAGCATCCTATCCTCCTCTCCTCGCTCTCTGAACTTTGCATCTCAGGAGCCGAGGGCATGAGCATTAAGGGGGTTTAGATGATTCTCTCAAGACCTCTTTGTTACTTTTTGCTATCCCAACCCACATTCCTCCAGATTCCGGGATTTTACCTTCTCAGCACATAAGTGGAGCGATGAATTTATGTTATGTTCCTTCTCTTTGGATTTGCTGTTGTCCTTTCGGTTTAGATAAATGGTAATTTTAATCTGCCATGAGAAATCTAACTGACCGCCCCAGTGACCCCTCTGCCTCCCCGAGTGAAAAATAAAGCGCCTGAAAACTGCTGCTTAAAAATTGAAAGTAGTAGAGACAGACTAAAGGAATGAAAACTGATGTAACGTTTGCTGCTTAGTTATGTAGAGAAATGCTGCTGGGAAAACCATTCCAGCTCGACTAACTAGATGTGATAGCTAATTTCCATAATTCAGAACCCACAAACGGCCTGCTAATTTTGTTTACACTATATTCACAGCTAATGTAGCATCTACTGCTTTAGTGCCGGATAACATTAACATTCAAAGCTGCTTGTTGCAGTATAGTGGCTAAATGCTAATGATATTTTTTTAATGGACAATTCCGTGTGCGCTAGTTTTCTGCTTTGATGTAGGTACAAAAATGTCCCTTATAAGCTCTGTTTTTGATAACCATGGTGTGTCAAAATATAAAATAACACTCATTAATCCCTACCTCTGATTGATTGTTTTCTCATGAGGAAAAGATGAGCCTTGATACTATTGAGACTACTACTATTAAGAAGTCAGAAGTGTGTAATGTCCTGCTTTGGAGGAGTCAGCAGTAAAATGTCTTTTGGGTGCCATGGAAACAGGCTTTAATTCTGTATTTGTTCAATGTGTCAATAGCTATTGTTTAATTGTTTTTGTCTTCAACTGTACAACCTAAGCTGTGAGTTCCTCAGCCTTGTGGTTTGAGAGCACAACAGGCTCTATATCCCACCCTTGTGTTCTCCCTTTTGTTATGTGTTAATCAAGGTTCTGATGCTACCCCAATTATAACCCGCCTTTCATGCATATCTGAAATCAATCGTGTTGTTTACATGCCTATTACCTGTCTATAAAAACAAATTTGAACCTTCTTGTGACTTCGGTCTCCCTCACACCCCCCTCAGGGAAAGACAATGCCTCTGATTTTATCTATTGTCCTTTTGATTGGCCTTTATTTCTGTGAACCTGTATGAATTTGTACGGGGCTTTCTTGAGTCAGAGAGTGTTTCCATAGCTCCCTGTGACCATCGCTCTCCACTGCAGAGTATAAAATCAATATGAAAAAACTCATCTGAACCAACCACTGAATCAGATCTAAAATACACGTTTTTTCTTCCACAGCACCTACAAGACCTCATTTAAAAAAATCTATCAACTTCAGCATATTTTGAAAATGTCCTTACCGTCTAAGCATTATGATACACATCCCTTCACATGCCCTGCAAAAACATCTATCATTACCACTGAAAAAAAACAAACACCACTTCACATAAATCTGAGACAATGCATGCTTGGGTTTTTGCAAAATCTTTAAACTGAGTGTTACGAGGCCAGGATTTAACCAACTCAGCGATATTTGTCAAATACATGAAGAATAACAGTCGTAAAGTTGCACTGTGTGAATTCAAAAGTTCAGTCTAATAATATTTGAATTCTTGTTATTGTTCAGCAACGTTAGTGCACGACAAAACTAAAACTGCCTGTGTATTCCATTTACTGAATGTGTCGCTCATACCTTAAAGTGCATAAGATACAGTTACCTTACCAACCACTAATCCAGCTGTTAGACATCGTCTGGCTATCGGCACTCAATGTAAACAACACTCTAAAAGCAACGCTAAGAGTCATGGGGTCATTGTCTGAAAAGGACATAAAACACTTACTGAACACTTACTGAAAAACAAAGCTGTAACCAACTTTCAGTAAACATAGTGATACACTGGAAGTGAAGAGATGAAATGACTCACCAAAAAAAAAAAAAAAAGGTTCACCATCCTCCTCTGGCTCAAATCAATCTGTAAAGTTCTTCCTCTGAGAATTTGATGCTGCTTGATCAAATGGTCCTACCATTTCCAAAATTAACCAAACGTTGGTTTAGCTTCTGTTTTTTTTTGTTTTTTTTGGTTTTTTTACCACAAAGGCTGACCCAAACAGCTGATCTGTAGGGTTATACAGGCTTGCAGTGTGCATAGGTTGAAAAAGCACAGTGTCAAAGAAAAAGGCTAACATAAGCTTCATTCAGATTGATTAAATAAATATCCAAAGAGGTTCATTGTGTATCTTTTTGTGTTAGTACTCGAGCCAGGTTTGCTTTCACCTTCTACTTTGCATCTTGAATGATCTATTGATAAATATTTCATACAAACCAACCTCAAAAAATCCTAGCTGCCTCTTATATACTACTTCAAAAGCACCATTTCACTTCACTCTCTTGGGTGTCTCATGAAGCACTAATAACATCACCAAACAGTGATGCCCTAAATGTCCAGACACACCCTGGAGTACACCTCTACCTACCTTTTTTACTGACGAGTAAAAAAAAAGGTTATGCTCCTTGCATTTTTAGGCCAGTTTCCTATTCTTTATCATTTCTTGGCGTCTACATTTACTGCGTAAGTGGCCAAACAGACGCCATGATGTCACATTAATATTTGCAGTGCAGATACAGTGGTGTTATAAAGCACAGTGTGACAATAAACATGAGCTCTTGCTGCTGTTCGTCCCTCAGGGCACCCTTCAGTCGAAATGAGTTTCTTATCTAGGCTCATCTTTGCTGCAGAAACTGTTAATAATCACACAGGGAGAAAAGTGTCTGAGAGGAGGAAGCAAATACTTTAATAACCCATAAAACAACACAGCAACAGAGCCGTTAAGACATGCTGTGTTCCAAGTATGATGTGTGATTGTGCTTCAGAAGGAAAAACATCCCAACTCCTCTTCCCTCCACCTAAAAACTGAACCCACAGCAGCGTTGCGACAGGTTCACATTCCCTTCTCCGGAGTCGGCAGAAGCTGCTCAGAACTGTGCAGAAAACATGACACATCACAGCATGACAGTATCACAGGGTGAGAGAGTCATTCAGACACACTCCAGTTCAGTGACACAATATCCATAAGTGAGCTCACAGTATCCAGGAGAAAAAGAAGAAAGACAAGGTCGTCACTCAACCATGAGAGTGTCATTTTATACGTGGAATTTAAATGTTCTACACTTGAGACAGTGATTAGGATGCGGGATGTTTCCCCCGACCGCACACACACGCGCGCACACACACAAGCATACTTCTAAAGTATCCTGATGTGACCCTGCTGCATGCATTATGCATACACATGCTGACAAACCCCTCTCACTTCCCAATTCTGTTACATGTCACCTTTGCTCTTTTTATTTCTTTTAATTTCTTACTTTCTTTATGATCCCCCCTGGCTTCCATCTCCATTACCTCGCTCACTCTTTTGTAATCATTCTTCAGTACTTTCCCTGACCTCACTTTAGTTCCTGCTGTCCTCTGTCTCCCCCATCTGAGTTACAGAGCGGCAATCAGCGCCGTGCAGTGTTCTCTGCCTCCGTTATCTCCCTCCCTCTCTCTGCTTTCATGCTTCTCCCTTCACCCCCGCTTCTTTTTTTTTTTTTTTTAACGTTGTCTCTATATCCTCCTCCTCTCCTTCCCTCCCTCTCATAGGGACAAAGCAATTAACAGCACTTTACATGTCGATTTCACTCCCTCAGAGTCCCCGCTCAGAGTCCTCGCTCGTCTCTCTTCCACTCCCCCAGCATCTCCCACATTATCGCTCTAAACCGAGGGAATGGTGACAGCGGCACTTCTCCGGTTAACTCATTCGTCTTTAAGCTGTCAGTTTATTAATTCAGGCAGCCAGTATGCAAACATGTACATCTTAAAGTCATGCATATCACACTCGAGCAGTTTAACAATGATGAATGCTCAAGTGGCCCTTGTGTTTATTTGACACAGCATTTACTGCCTATTCTCATCCATCATGTATGAATTTGATTCAAGAGGGATTTTCAGGTTTAGCTGTCATCAAACATACCAGAGATTATACTCACCTGACACAAAGCATGGCTATATTCAACACACTCACAACCGCTCCACCCAGAGGGAGGCAGGTGAGCTAACACATTTAGCGTCTGGTTAACACCCTCCCCCCCTCATCTCCTCTTTCTTCATCTGTCTCTGTTGAGTTTCTCTTGTTCTCCCTGAATCTCCTCGTGTCTCATCTGTCTCCATCTGTGTGTCTTGGTTCGCTCTCATCGTCTCATCAACCACAAACTGTGTGTGTGGCTGTCTTTCTAGAACGATGTTTTGCTGCTTAGGGTGCCTGTACAAGTTTATAAGCGCAAACATGTGTGTTTGTCTCCTGCATTACCGAGTTTGTGCAACTAATGAGTTGTATATTGATGGCACTTTGTCACTGCCAAGAAGCCATCTAAATGACTGATATAAGTACGTGCATGCGCTTCTGTGCCTGCAAGTCTGCGATATACACACACATGGAAAAGTGGTGCAGAGATTGATGATATGAGAGTTTAACCAGCCATCCAGAATAAACAATGCCCTATTTTCCTCCTGCATGTTTACCAAACAGCCGAATCCCAACATATACAGCTTTTCTCCACATTTAAAGGCTGTCGGGTTAAATCAACCTCTGAATCCAAGAAACGAAGTTATGTCATCACAATAGCAGAGAACTCATGTACGAACAACTCAATAATGGTGATTTAGTTTTCTTCAATCATTTCTAATCAAAGCACTTTCTTAAGTGTGATGTTTGCCCATGTAGATTTCTCCTCAGGAAACTGAAGGCCTGTAGAAAGAAGAAAGATAAACTCTGGAATATGGTCTGTTACAAACTCTTATACAGTATGTGTCGAATTGATACGTAGCAACAGACACTTTGAGCTCAGTGAAGTACTGACACAGTGATACAATGACAGAGAGAGATATTCCAGTTGTTTCCAAGGTCTTCAGATAAATCTGAGAGGTCAGGAGATGATAAATGAGAGGAAAGTCATAAAAAAAGGTGTGATCTTTTCTAACCTAAAGCTCAAGAACTGATGAGAAACTACATGTCAGATATACAGTATGTACTTCAGAAAATACACGTATTACAAAATGATACCAAAGTTAAATTTGCATGTGATAAGTTGTTTCCCACATAATCCAGATAGGCATAATACCCCTGCATCTCTGTACTTAGGAAGGCCCCAAGATGAAAAACATGTTTGCACATGCCCTTTGAGGAGGAAGTCCGTTTAGATAAGAATATATGGAGGATAATAGGAATTCTTCAACTTATAGTAAGTTTTCTTGTCCACTTTTCTTCAAGAGTTTGGAGCAAAGATTTAAACTGGCCAGTATGTGTTCGTTCAATATGAAGCAGGAGCCAGCATCCAGTTATCTTTCATTTGAAAATGCACCTACAATAAAGGTAAAAATTCACCCGTAAACAGTGACAACAATTCATCCTTTTTTGTGCCAATTTGATGCATTTTTCTGATCGCCACATGAGGCAAAATTTGATGTTGAATTGAGATAGTTCCACAACAGCTGCAGAAGTTTCACACTCAGCGCAGCCTTATAGTATACAAGAGTGCCACGTTTCCACAGATTTATAAAGAAGCAGAACTCTTTGTTGTGTTCAAATGGAGGACTGAGTCAGGTCAACCTCATGTGGTAGAAACCTGCATCTGTCTGTTGTCCACTTCCTGAAATCCTTGTATGTAAAGTGCGCTGTTCAGCTGGTATTGAATTTCATGTAGAACACCCCGTCATTTATTCCTTTTAGCTAAGGCTGAAATGTCACAATGGAAACATAAATAAAGACTACACAAATGATGCTCTCAAACAGACGTGGAAATGGACCTAATTACTGACTGGCTTGGCAGGCAGCTGGATTTGAGGAGAATCCACATGCACATTAATTTCACATTAATTTCACAGTAGCTCACTTCCTCTCCACGATCACAGTGGAAGCGTACAAACACTCTTTAGATTTGCTTTAAGACTTAAAAGTAAACAAGCTTGTCACTGAGTTATTTGTTTTAGAAGCTAAATTTGTCTTCATAAAATGTGTGTCATCATTAGCCAGAAAATCAGAGCAGAGCTTTTTCTGTCAAGAATTAAAACACATTTTTTTTTTCCTTTTGCAGTTATCAGCTTTAAAACACCTTACCTGGCTGCTGCAGAATATCATTAATATAAACAAAACAAATCTGTGTATGTCTGAAGGATCACAACATACAGTTTTTAATAAAGACTCATGCGGCCAAAGGCAAAGTGACAAGCTCACTTACTGTCTGGAAGTAATTGACCTGCACTACAGTTTGGGTTTATCCAAACCTTTCTGCTCTTCAACCCATTTCACATCTAAAGTTTGAATGACTTAATATAATTAGTAAGCGTTTTCAGAAGATGAGCTCCTGGCAGATTATATGTAGCAGTAAATGTATCTGCTGACATTTGGGTTTCTCCTGCTGACTACTTTGAAAACGAGCACCCTAAGGTGGGCTTTTAATTCCTAACTTTTTCTCCCTATATGTCATATATATTCCTAATCTGAAAAAAAAAAAATCCAAAATGGGTTTGTAATTATCACAAACTTGATTCTTTGTCTTTAAAAAGACAGAGACTCTGCATGTTGCCAGTTGATTGAATATTATATTGATCTTTTTTTTTTTTTTTTTTTTTGCAGGCATTGCTCTGGAGAAGGTGTTTGACTACAGCGAATACTGGGAAGTAGCCAGAGGCCTGTACGCTCCGTTCGACTGCACGGCCACCATGAAATCTGGCAACGCTGATGTCTATGAGAACGAGATACCCGGAGGACAGTACACCAACCTTCACTTCCAGGTGCGCTGAATTATTCTGGTCTTTGTTTACTGTGTTCTGTGTAACGGATCGATCTAAAAGCTGAAGAGGTAAAAAAACAAAACAAAAAAAAGAGCCATCTCTGGATCAGGTTGAAACAGAATCATGTCAGCGTAAGACTGCGTTTAAATTTGTTGAAAATGACTCTTAGTCAATCCATCTCTAAAGGATCTGAGCCCTTCTTAAACTGACTCAGGAAGTGTTGTGTATCAGTTTTTTATCAGATTTAGTTTCTGAACATGCCTGCAGTGTATAGGCTTCGTGAAATATTTGTGTTTCTCTTTAAATGTTGTTCTTGATATGTGCGTATTCAGTATTTTACAATCAGTACAGCCACAAGTCTATAGCGCACATGGAATCACTCCGATAAGACTGAATCCTGAGACATCAGTCGGGGGCACAGGTGGCGCAGTGGTTGGTGCGCCCAATGTGCAAGCGGACGGCCGAGGCTCAAATCTGACCACTGGCTCCTTTCCCGCACGTCCCTTTGCCTGATTTCTATCCACTGTCCTATCTCTCCAGTAAAGGCATAAAAAGCCCCAAAAATAGATATTGAAAAATAATACATTGGTGCACATCCCAGAGTACATTTGTGACCTGTTCATGTAAAAAATTAAGTGTGAAACAAATGCACTATATACAAAAGTACAGTTTACACAAAGGATTCATACGACCCCAGCTGGAAGAGCTCGCTGTAAATCTAAAATCTGTGGATGTCATAATGTAAATTATAGCCTTAAATCCCATGTTGACTCAGAATAAGCCAGAATGCCTTCACTGTTTATTCTTTAAAAGAAACACTGAAAGACAAATTCAACTCGACTCATCCACGCCGTTGCTTGTTTCTTGTTGCTCTTTGCAGGCTCACAGCATGGGACTGGGAAACAAGTTCAAGGAGGTGAAGAAGGCCTACACTGAGGCCAACAAACTGCTGGGAGACCTCATTAAGGTGAGCATGTGACTTCACAGTCAGTTTTACCACAGACTTTATCTGACTGCTTTGGGTATAGCTGCCTGTTTCTGCTGATCTGCCTCTCTTTCTGTGCTTGACTGAGTACAACGATCCCAGATTACGCTCGGTATATCCACTGTTCCCTGCTGTCCGGATTCACTTCCAGCTTCACTGTCTGGTTGACCTTCCCCGACCTCCTCAGCCTCTGCTGGGAGTTTTTTTGTTTTGTACTCTCTCCACCATTTTATAGACCTGCTCTTTTATTAGCCATCGATCATTTCTTTAACAAAGGACATTTAACTTTTACTGCACAAGGATTTCTTTTACCCTCAGACCTACCTGGTCATTTAACTTAATAATGGTAATTCAAAAAGAAGTTGTTGGTTCGTTTCTATAACTCTGTATTCTGTTTCTTGTATTACCCCGCTTTGAGTAAATGGGTAGAAACTCCACTGAACTAGTTTTAGGTAGATTTCTGGCACATTAATCTGAGGCAGAGAAAAGGAGCTCTATTACCAATTCTGCATTCTCAAAAATTCACCTCCATCCAGCTTTCTCTTTTTTTTTTCATTATCTTTCATTAATTCCTTTGTTTTCCCCTTTCATTATTTACCATCACAGCTCGGTAATAGATTCATCCCTCTTTCGCCGTGTTCACGCTCGCCATGTAATTATTTCCTCGTCTATTTTGCATTCTCTTTCTCTATCAAGCCGCCCTGTTTTTGTTTTGTCTCACCTTTCTCCTTCTCATTCCACTGCTGCTTGCCCGGCATTTATTCCCCAGACATCTCTCTTATTTTGCTCTCTCTGTCGTAGCAGCCATGCTCCTATGGATTCCCTATTACTCTATCTACTTCTCTCTTTTGCTCTCGCTCAATCCTCCTTCTCGGGTCCCCCCCCACCTCCCTTATTTCTTTTTCTTCCCTGTTTTCCTCATCAATTCCACCCCTCCTCTCCTCTCCCCAAACTCTCGATCAATTCAATTAAGACTCGGTGGGCTTCAGTGCACAAGCCAATGTTAGCTTAATGTGCCTGCAGGTCCTGCTATGCCCTCTGTTGTATCCTGTTAGCTTGACAATGGCAGCGTCTCTCACACTGTTGGCTTGTCGATAAGGCAGAGGGAGTGTGCTAGTCAGATATAGATATAAAGTCCACACACCACCCGCTGTGCTGACAGTTTGCAGAGAAGCCAGGGTCTATACAATGAGTGTTTCTCCCACACATGAACACACACACACACACACAGCAGTACAAAGGCCATATCTTAGCCGCTCAGAGAGCTGGGTGAAGGATTGTGCTTTTTCAGGGTCATTAATCTCCCCAACACTTCACACCAAATGTACAAAAAAAATGAGGGATATTTACAGGACTGTTTTTTTATCAAGGGAAACCAGCTCCTACCAAACACAAAATAAGACAAACGACTGTAATTATAACTTTTAGGAAAGGGGGGGAAAAAAAGCTTCTTTTAATCATCATTGCACCAAAATGTTTAACATTAAGAAGATTTCTTACTTTTCTTGACACATTTTTCTCATCACATGAAGGAAGAAGTCAAGATATTTGTACGAGACGTCAAAGAATTTGACAGAACAGTTGATGAGAAATGAAGGAGAAGCTCAGACGTGCAGGCTCATTAGCTTCTACTTAATTCCAGCTGACGTCAAAGAAACTAAGGAGACAGTGTGACTCGCTAGATTTATGACGTGAAAATGTTCATAAGCCAAACTGTTTCTTAGTTTAATATCCGTTCCTAATGTGAGCGCCAACTCATGACAAATGTTATCTCAAGACGCTCTACAAAAAGAGCAGGTACTGTACTATTTACAGAGACACGTCATTAACCCCTCACAAGCACAGCAATTAACAACAAAGTTACAGCGGCAGAAGGCAGAAACCTCGAGAAGAACCGGACTCATGTCGATAAGCCATCTTGCCAAAACTGTGCTGGGGTTGGAAAGTGGGAAAGAGGGAGACGCAGGAAGAAGGACAGAGACAAACAGAGCATAATTATTAAGACAGATTTATAGCTGCAATGTTGGTAATGATGCTAAAAGTGTGTGTAGTATAAGCAGTCACAGCTAAGTGTGATAATAGACGGTCTAATGTTAACATTAACAATTGTTATTGTTTCTGTTAATTATAGTGAAATCACAGCACTGCCTGTTGAGCATCCAGTGCAAATTCAACAAATCTGCCAAAATTCAAGTGATTATATTTAATTAATTAATAAATGTAAGTTCCTCTTTTCAGAAGAATCAAGGTGTTTCACATGGACACTTAGTTTTTGTCTTCATTAATGCTGATGTAATTATGCTGCTGATACATTTTGAGGTGAGAAAATGGTCCTCTGTGCCTCTCATCCCTCATGTTAGACGTGTGTGTAAACAACAGCGGGGGAAAATAATGAGTGACAGTGATTGTTTGCTCGAGTCAAGAAGTTGAAATAGACGGGGCTGACTAATGAGGCACGAGGGGTTAAAAGGCATGGATTTAACCTCTGTACATTTTGAAAAACTGTATTGAAAGGGAAATGCAAAAACGCAGGTCATTTAGTATTCACAGTGTGGTGAAGCCTGTTTAAAGGTATGAATGTACTGAGGATGATTCTGTTGCAGCTACAATGATCTGAGCGTCTTCACTGTGTGAGGACTGAGGAGTTTTAACATTTAGATGGAACCTTCTTTCTTAAAGAGGCTCAAACTCACATATGCAAATTACATTTTCTGTGCTTTTAAAGATTAAATATTAACCAACTTATTTTAAATATGTCATTGTTTTATGAAGTTAATGTTGTATTTTTCCCCATCATAGATGTCTGTTTTAAAATGGATGAGTCAGGTGGAATGAGGTGCTGCTCGTTCTGTCCCTGCTCACACAGTGCTTCTCTTTCACAGACCACATCTTGGATTATCACCTTCACAGACAACACTGCTTTCAAGTGAAGTCAATTATTATTTAGATGAATTCATTTTATTTTATTATTGTGTCATGCATGCAAAAACCAAAAATAGATGCCAAACAATACTAACAATATAAACCATCCTGGTGTTTCCTCCAGGCTTCAGTGACAAAAGAGGCCAACTTATACACATTGAAAGTAAACAAACAGTCCATCCTGACATCGTCATTACTCCAAAACACTTGAGGGTCTCGAGCAAACATTTCATCAAAAAGAGTTACTCTCAGTTCCTCATAAAAGGGACAATACAAAAGAAAATTAGATTCACTCTCCACTTCTCCTAAATCACAAAGTTCACAAATTCTCTGTTCCTCTGGGATGTTTTTAAATCTGCCAACTTCAAGTGCCAAGGGAAGGATTCCTGTCCTTAATTGAGCAACCAAAGATCTTTGATTTCTTGGTAAGTTTGCTTTAACATGTAATTTGGTATCATAATTTATGCTTTTTTTGGACACATGTTTGCAATTTAGGTTTTAAATATATTTCATTTAACCATTTTTCATTGAATACAACAAGTAACTTTTTTTCTAATCTTATTTACGCTGCATGATGAATTATTTCTATAGATAAACCCGTAAATCCGCTTCTTCAAAGACAGCATGAAGCTCTGCAGCCCATGGAGAGTTCTGAACTTTACTCCAGAGAATCCTTATATTAGGCCAGATAAATCACAGCAGAAGTTATTCTCGGTTTCTTAACATTCACTCTGGATAGTATGATTTAAAGAGACCTAATAATTCAACAATCACACTAAGTCATCTTTTCAGGGAGCTAATATAAAAAAGTAATGTCTTCTGGTTCCCAAGCTATAATCGTTCTTAGCTAGAGGGTGTATTTACTGAAGCAACGAAAAAATCAAACAAAACATACATGTGGAAGATGCCTACAGGCGCTGATTTAATGATGTAATCTCTGAAACTGCTACAGTACAGTCTACAGTCAACCTCTCTGATGCACCGTAAATGTCTGTATGGATTGCAATTTCAAGTCAAGAACTGTCATAGAATTTAAATGAATAGCATGAAGGTTTTCAAATGGTTCAGGTTAGCAGGGAATAAAGGGAAATACATATCAGGTAGTGCATTCTGATTATGAGTACAGATCGTTCTTTTCAGGATGGTTTGGTCTATGCAGTGCAAGAAAGCAGGAAGGAAAATGTCAATCACAAGTTCCTGGAGCTGGAGATCTTTTTTAAGAGGTTTCTTGCTTTTATACTCTGGTGAGATGAGAAGAGTAATATCACACTTCTATGTGTTGAAAGCCAAGCAGCAGAGACTCCAGACAATCACAACCTAAACCAGGACATAGGAAGCACTTTCAATTTGAGAACTGTTTCCACACTAGTTTTTCACTAAACCGGACTTAAAGTGTTGACTAAAGGTACTGGTAGGTGGATTGTGTTCCCTTTGCCAGGGTAGCCTTTCCCCCTCTGCATCCAGTCTTTATGCTAAGCTAAGCTCGTCTCATCCTACTCTTTTGCAAAAAAAAAAAGTCCAATACTTGTTGAAAAATGTTTGATTGCTACTCTAATATAACACATTTGTTTTAAAATGAGTTCACCAGTCAATCAAATAATATCTCCTGCCTGTCAGTGTCAGCTTAATTTGTTTTATCATATGAAGAGTCTTCAACTGTCTAGTTTGATTTTGGAAAACTTTCAAACTAGTATTATTTTCTTTTAATGGGAGGCAACTGCAGACGTCTTTCTCCTCTTCTTCTGCTTTGAACTTTCCCTCTATAACCCCTTTTTCTTTCATGCATCTTGATTTCTGTGAACATGGGGCGTGCCTGTCTGAGGAGCCGAGCATGTTTTTTTGCGTGTGCTCTCTCGCTTTCTCCTTTTAGCCAAACTTGCTCTCTTACTTTTCTCTTGCAATTACAGGCACGTCTTCACTCTCCCACTTCCCCACACACACACACACGTCTCTTACTTTGAGGTGGAGCCCCCTTCTTGTATGGCCCGTGGGGCTGCAGCTGTCTATTGCACTTGTCTGTTTGCCTCTGTCTCTCCTCCCCTCGGTTCATTTGTCCATCC